AAAAAAATTATTCAAGGACAAAAACGCTTCCCATCAGTTTTACAACTGGCCAAAGGTGGGGTCTCCCACTGTGGGGGAATGACATTTGTGTCTTGGAATCAAAGTTATTTACATAATACATTAATCCTTTTGACTGCCAGTGTCATGAGAACTCATATTTATATCAAAATGTAAATGATCAGAATTAGTGACAAAACAATTTCATATTATGTACAATACGAATAGACCATTTTCCCCTTTTTTTTTAAATATTAGACTTGCATATAGCAAAGAAATATTCTTTCTTACTCCTATCTTCACCGACAACCATGTTTGTTGATAAATGAAGTATACATACTGTCCAGAGGTGAATGGACATAGGACCACGTTGTAATACATTTGATACACGTAAATATAATGTCTAAAGGACTTCGTTGAAGTCTACATGTCAAGTATATGCATGGAAATGAAATGCAATATGGGAATAACAAGTTCTTGACACTATCCAAATATAGTCCCAGTTAAACAGTGCTTCTCTCTCTCTCTCTCTCTCTCTCTCTCTCTCTCTCTCTCTCTCTCTCTCTCTCTCTCTCTCTCTCTCTCTGTGCGTGTGTGCGACAGAAGATTTTGCAGATACAAATGGAAATGGTGCCTTCAAGAAAAGTTTAAGACTATGGGTTTCACACTGACGTATAGGAATGAACCCCTCCATACGTAGCTGCAGACCCACAAGTACCAGTTTATCTCCACATTTTTTTTGACATTGTCAGAAAACAAAAAAAAAAGCTAGGTCTGCTCGTCCTGTGCGACAGCTGAGAAATTTTGAAAAATCAAAATTGAGCATTGTATTTCTTTTGCTTTGGTTGTTTTGTATCCAATCGTAAAAATTCTTATATGTTTGTACGAATCTATGTCTACAATAACATCCCGTATTTATAAAAAAAAAATAGCATCCCGTGTTTATAAAAAAAAATAGCATCCCGTGTTTATAAAAAAATAACATCCCGTGTTTATAAAAAAATAGCATCCCGTGTTTATAAAGCGAATGGACATCTTATGTTTTATAAAGAATAACATCTCATTTAAAAAAAAATATACATATACCAAAACTGCTTCTAGGAAAAGGTCAAAGTTTGTGGAAATTGAGCTCGTATTTCAAGGATATATTTCGATGGGTGTGAACTTGCATTTGAATTGCAAGCATTATATTAAATGCAAAGGCTCTATCAGCTATTCATTCATGTAAAACTCCCGTCTCCTCCTTACCCACGGGGAAAATCAATAACAAATGCCTTTCTCAAGCCCATCTTCTACTTTTGCAGATAAACTGCGTGGAAGTGAAATCAAAATAAATAAATAACTAATAGAAAAAAACTTAGATAGCCGTGTGTGTGTATGTATGTGTGTATAATTTCTAAAATAAACACTTCTGCTGAGAAAGCATCCATTGCCATAGATACAAAAGAGATTTGGAAATACGTCTTGTCAGAGTTTAGAAAGTGGAGTTCTTATCGCTATTACTTCCTTGCTTTAATATAAAGTGCAAATCTTGTAAGAGTGTTAATTTATAAAGATTGAGATTTTCTTTACTCGTTTTGAAGCAATAAAGAAATTGAAATATGCCGTACTGCTGGCTTTATGCCATGTAAAGACTTGTTTTTCTCGACATTTAACCTTTGGTCTTTTCATGATTATTGTAACTTTTTCTTGCGGCCGCTAAATATCGCAGTTTCCAGACATCTAACAAGCTTGCAGAGATTTCTTTTTGCGGCTTTTAAATTCCTTGTGCATGTGTTCAATTAAAAAATTCACGATCCTTTGATATCAGAGATGTAATATTTGCGCGATGGTTGCGAAAGTAAAAAACACATATAAAGTATTTTCTCAATTTTTTCAATCTGAAACAAAAAACACCAGCTCGATTCTATTCGTACATCTGTTAATCAATTTGTAAGATGTAAGTATGATTCCTTCGATGCATTCAAGTCGTTGTGATATTGTATCAAACTACCCCATTGTCACGTAAACAAATTATTTAACACAAGATGCAAGCCATATTAAAAACACTACACGTTATCTCTGAATGTAAATTATTTGTGGTATTTTGATCTTTTCTTTTTACATCTATCACATTTGGTATGCATTGATTTGTTCAACACCTCGACCGGCATCAAACAACAGACAATACAAAAAATCGATTGCCATGGTAACATCTTTAGCCCTGCCATCCCCAAAGCCTCACAAAGAAGTGGTAATAATTAAGCCCTTTACATTACCGGAATTATGTCTACAGGCCAGACGGACGTTGTGTGCCGTGATAAATGAAGTCCTATAAAGTGACTAACATTGACTGATAGTAACAGATTGTCAGATAAATTCCCCAGGGGAACAAGAATCAAAGTCTAGAACAAGGTTGGGCAACAGTAATTAGCCAATTTGCATGCTGTAGACGACACTGAAATGTACCACTTACTCCCTCCAAAAAATAAAGTACGACAATTTTATTGTTTATTAATATTTATTCAATTTGTGTATTCATTATTCACGAGATAATCCTAATGATCTGAATAATTAATAGTGTTAATCAGCATCATTGC